AATGGAACATTTCGAAATCCTTAAAGTTTGGTACAATCAGACGAAGACCATGCATTTCTAAACTTATTCCCTTGACTGTAGGGAGGGTCATATGAAAAAAAAATAGTTTGTCCGTTTGTTTGCTTGATTGGGGTCAAAAAAACATACAAGTGGCGTCAGCTTATTTTAAGAGTTTTGGCCATTTCGATCAAACTTTGCTATAGGTTATCGAGGGCCCTGAATCCGAATCCGAAGCCCATTTTTTTGGCCGAGATTTCATTGGTCAGGAATCGGCCAATCAGAAATGAGCTTTTTTATTTTAAGACTTTTGGCCATTTTGATCAAATTTTGTTATTCCCTCGACTGGAGGAAGGCCCATATGAAAAAAAAGAGTTTGCTTGCTTGTCGTCAGGCCAAAAGAACATCAGGGTTAAAAGAACCTCGGGGTCAAAAAAACATACGCTTCAAGAAGTTTGCGCTTTGAGGCTTTCGACCAATCACGTTATTCAGCCCATAGTTTCAGCCAATGAGATGTTTTCGATATCGGGCTTTCGACTAATCAGATAAAGTTCTTTCCTCTAAACGTTGACAAAAGTAAATCGGGGTCGAAGAATCCGAATCTGAAGTCACTTTTTCAAAATTTTGAATTCAAATTTTTGGGTGAAGGAAAGGATTTTTTGAGAAAATAACGATGTTTTATAAAGGTTGACGAAAGGAAATCGGGGTCGGGAAATTCGAATCTGAAGTCAGTTTCTTAAAATTTTGAATTGAGTTTTAGGGTCAAGAAAAGGATTTTTTGAGAAAATAACGATATTTTATAAAGGTTGACGATAGCAAATCCAAGTCGGAGAACCCGAATCTCAAGTCAGCTATTCAAAAACTCAAGTAGGTTTTTGTATGAGACAAATCATCCTTTTTTATCTGAATTATTGTCTAAGGAAAACGTCAATTTTTTTAAAGCAAAAGGCATTTGAAAAAATGGAAACCCGAAATATGGACAATCCTTCTGCGTATTTGGAGTTTGTAAATGCTGTTTAGTTTCGGTAGTCTCTTCATAGTATTGTTGTAGACATGAATTAGAGTGTGATCTAATGGGTTGAGTGTTTCAGTAAGTCGTAGTGTGATGAAGCAGTGTTTACAAGCCATTGGCACTCAGTCTAATGTGTGCGACATTGTGGGATTCATGATTATTCATAGTGGCTTGTGAGTTAAGTGGCCTTTTTTGAGTGCACTCTGCTTAAGTCGAGAGAAGTAGTATTAAAAGAATCCTGTAAATGAAGTTACGGCCTGTAGGATAAATGCTGAATAACCAATGATCGTTTTAATGTATTCCAAGAATGCAACAAGGGACTATGAGCAAGGCCTGATAGAAGTGTTGGCGAACTAGTGGTCGCTAAAATTGCGAACGTATTCTAATGTTGTTTAGCAAAAGATCTACATGAAACCTGCATTTATCAAGAATAATCAACTAAGATTCTCCAAACCAGAAGCCCTAATAAAATGTTATCGTATTGGCTAAACCATTGGGTTAAAGAAATTATGAATAAATAACAGGAAACTGTTGGTCCGGAGCTGCTCATGTAGAGCGATGGTGTTATAAATCTAATATTCTAAGTAAGAGCAATCTGTCATTTAACAGGGTTTAAGTGAAAAGAACTATCCTATGGGTGAAGAAGATCCGAGGTTGCAGCAGCTAGTCGTGAGTGGCGCCCCAGAGGGGCGCCGACGAGCAACTAGCTGGTGCACTCGACAGTTGCATGTTGAAGGGCGTTAAATTAAAAAGATTAAACAAGAGCATGTGAAGGGGTTAGATCTGGTGAGTTTCAAAACGGACTCAAAGTGATAAAAAAGGAGAAATATTTTTGTATGCATCCTAAGACCAGTTTTCCTCGAAGAATAGAATATAGTGACAATGTATGGATGGAAAACATCATTAAAACAGTTAAATTCACTCCATCGAAAACGAACTTGAAAGGAAAAGAATTAGTTTTTCGGTTCGTATATTTTTTTGTGGATTTAGAATGTGCATTTGCTGAAGTAGATGATCAGCTAAAACAGTATATGTCTTTTTCGGTTTGCATAAACGTATGAAAAAGAAGAGAATAATTGGAAATTGCATGTTTGTTTTCGTCTTATGAAAATATTTATCAATTAAGTGAGTCATTTGTAGTTACTATGGAATGGTTTTTGACTATTTATTAGTTAAATGTACGCGATAAGAGTGAATAAGCTATTGAATTTGGTCGTGTTTGATACTTATAAGAAAGGTTCTTTCGTGTTTTTAAATCTATCATCTGCGGAAATATATACATGGATAGGCGTGGGTCTAACATTGAGACCTGGCATTAATTTGTCATATGCTATAATTACTATTATGAAAAGTGATACTTTTATCCTGGTATGTTTTCGGGAATTCTGATATGTGCAATGTCTAGCTACTGTTATTCAAAGAAAATAGTTTTGAAAAGGCATATGTGAATGATATCGTAGCTGTTGTATTACATGGACAATAAGAGACTGTCGTTCAAGTGCACTTATGTAAAAGGAGGACTTAGCCGTGGCTGGTACCCCAAAGGGGCGCTAATGAACTGTTAATCGTTAACATTGCAAGCATACTACACACTGATCTCACTAAAGATCTTTGTATCGGTTAGGCATTTTGAAGAATAGTGCACTAAGATTTCCTTCATGAGAACCTCAAAGAATATTCTGGTTTCTTAGTTCTACAATCAAATTGCGGAAATGAGAAATAATTCATGAGAAAACTTTTGTTTGAAAATTCCTATCGATAATTCTAACGCTTTAGACTAACGAAGTTTTGAAATAGTAAATTCTGGGCCAGGTGAATTTAAAATACAGAGGGATAGTGTTGTGAAAAGATGGGAGTAGACCTGGCAGCAATTAGTCACTCGTCGGCGTCCCTCCGGGGCGCCACTCGCGGCTAGCTGCTGCACTGGGTTATCTCCAGAAGTACCGCTTCGAAGTGTTGGGATTCATTGAATAAAAGTCAATAGTCGAAGTCAAATGGGTCTGAATAAGGAATATCAGATACAAAAAGTTGAAAAAACTATGTCAAGTCAAGGATGAGAACCGGTTTTTATGTTTCGACAAAATAACTGAATAGTTCGTCAGAATAAAAGTATTACAGAAAGAATTTATATTCGCTGCATCGGTAGTGAACATGAATGAAATAAAAGAATGTTTCTTTCGGAATATGGTTTTTGTTTGTATTAATTCAAGTATCTGAATGTACATTGATATATTCAAATTACCTGTCTAGTCTTATCACTACTTTGAATAAGAGCTTATTGTATATATCAGATTTCGATTAGAGATCAGATATAATATGTTTTATTTTCGGCTAGGGGTTCCACAGAACTTCTATTTTCCTAGAGAACTCTATAGTCAACAGCATTATCGAGGAATGTTCTAGAATGTGTACAAATTTCTAGTAGAATTTTCAAAAAGTACTCTGCGTCTTCGTATAATTTTTGTGAACTTCTATTGCTATATCGTCTGTGAAAAATTGAATATGATATCTTGTTCAGTCGAGGGCTAAGCGAATCGAAGCGACGAGCGTTACTTGTTATGAAACATTAATATTTTTCACTCAGCATACAAGTAATCCGTTGGGTTCTTACGCCAAATTCTAAATCAAAAATATAATGGAAATGGTAAGGCTCATAATTACAATAAGGTGATATATTTATTCTAGAAGAAATACATCCATCGTATACATCTATTTTCTATGCTTATATTTCGTTGGTTTTCCAAATATTGAAGCTATTCAAAATTATATTGCCGTCGATCACTATTCGTCTGACAGGACTACAGCGTGTCAGTTTTCGACATCATTCTAAAGAACTCTAAGCGAGTTCTCGCTCCTACAACATTCGAAGCCTAAACTGAATAGCTTTAATAGGACGCAAAAGGTATAGCGAAATATGGTGCGAACGAATTGTAAAATAGGCTCGTGTTTTCTGCGATCTATCAAGGATATTGGTATATGTGTAATAACGAGTGACTCTAGAAATCTCTGACGAGGGAAGGTCTCCAGGTGCCACGCTCCGTTTTGAATCGGACATATGCCATTTTGTAGAGCTCAGTGAGACTAGCAAAAGCTTAAAAGGGTTCTTTCTCATGGGCCTTGGGAGTCGAGTTATGCCCTTTCTACTGAATTTTTGACCATTTTTTCGATATTGAGCAGTAAATCAAACAACAGAGTTTTGATCTGAAATTTTGCCCATAGATAGGTCTAATCGTCTTTAGAATATCTTGAAAATTTCAGCTGAAAAGAATGTTCCTTTATCGAGATATTGGATATTCAAGTAGGTTGGTTTTTTGCGCCTTGTCTGTAAAAGCGATGATTTCTTAATAATTCAATATCTCGACAAGGGAACATTCTTTTCAACTGAAATGTTCAGGATATTCTAAAGACGATTAGACCTATCTATGGGCAAAATTTCAGATCAAAACTCTGTTGTTTGATTTACTGCTCAATATCGAAAAAATGGTCAAAAATTCAGTAGAAAGGGCATAACTCGACTCCCAAGGCCCATGGGAAAGAACCCTTTTAAGCTTTTGCTAGTCTCACTGAGCTCTACAAAATGGCATATGTCCGATTTGAAAACGGAGCGTGGCACCTGGGGACCTTCCCTCGTGAGATCCTCGTCACAGTTTGAATTCAGTCACAGTTTAGAGGTTATAGGCCAGTGTGCCTACGATGAAAAACACGAGAATGATAGCTGATATGGATGCTTACTTTTCCGGATCTACTTCTACTTTCACACCCCACCTCGATGTGTGCATACATTGTACTGACCCTCGAGCATATTTTTATTGAGCGAGATAATGCAATATGTATATTTATATATATATGATGGAATGTGATTATCTGTGGATAATGCAACAGTAAATTATGAGTATTAAACAAAGCAACTCTTGTCCGCTTGCTAGCAGAAAATTTCATGCAGTTGAGGTCACCGCAATTGTTTATGTAGTGTTTTAGATTTTTTTAAAGAATGGCTACATCCAAGAATAATTTATTTGATCATCGAAAATTAGCATTGCTTATTGGAAACGGTGATTACGATCGACCGGAAAATAAACTGAGCAATTCTATCAAGAATGCTGAACAATTGGGCAATTTGCTCAAAACAATCAATTTCGATGTTACAGCAGTTCGTAACTTAAGCAAACAGGAGATGATGACGAACATCAATGCTTTTTCGAAAAAGATCGTCGACGGTGATTTGATCTTCGTTTATTTTTCGGGACACGGTTATTCGGTCAACGAAAAAAACTATTTGATACCGGTAGATGATGGCAGAATAGAGAGTTTACGAGATGTGGAAGATTTCGGCTTTAATATTGAACCAGCACTCTCTCGTTTAGTGAATAGAAATCCGTCATTCGTGACCATATTAATTTTGGACTGTTGCAGACCTTACGTATTGAAAGGCGAATCGGGAGCAGCATGTGAGTAGTAGCGTTAAATGACACTATAGAAGCAATGTTAGTTTTTTTTAGCTATGGCAGCCAAAAGCAGTGGCTTACATGAGATGAAAGCACCTGCGGGAGCATTCATCCAGTTCTCTTGTGCCGCTAATCAAGCAGTCAACAATGACTTGTTCGCTAGACATTTATTAGAAAACATTGCAGAAGGTAACGTCGAAATAAATGACATTTTCCAAACTATAGCAAACAAAGTGTACCGCGACAGTAATAAACAGCAAAGACCGTTCTCTATGAATGGATTACAACAACATCAACAAGTGTATCTTAATGGTAAATATGTTCTTTGATGAAGTATTTTTATGATATTTAGTATGTCAACAAAATTTTATCTGACCCCATATTTCATCAACAGGACTACTTTGATGGAAGCTTTGATTACTACATAATACTAGTTTTCTCGTATAGTGAGCCGTTAGTTTACAAAATTTTCTTGCAGTAGCTGCGTGTGTATAGGGCCATACAATTAAAGATTTGCCGTGACTATCATAAAATGAGAAAAGGAAAATAACAGACCTGCACTAAAGTATTTTTCTGAGAAGAAATCGTGATTTTCCTTTAATTATGCTGAATTTTATTCGTGACATCCATAATTTTTTTGGAAGATTTTTTTTTACAATTTTTGCGGACGCTTACGAATGTATGCAACGGACAGGATAATGATAACAAACAGAAAACGAATACAAAGAAATGATAACGAACAGAATGAAAATCGAATTCGAGCCAATGATGACGATCTAGCGTGCATCGTTACTTTTTCTTTCGTTTATTCTTCCGATACCATATATCTTGACACCGAATGCACGATGCCGGGGGAAGGGATCGAACCTTCTGATCTCTGACTATAATCAGATGCATAAAACCACTACGCCATCCCCGGCTAAGAAATCGTGATGTAAGACCTCTCAATAGCATACTTTGCATTCCAGTAATGTAATCGTATTCTATAGAGGTAGACCCTTTAAAAGTATGCAAGGCTCGTAAAAATGATCGCCGTTGAACAGATCGAGCATCTTCTCACCATGCAAGGAGAACGTAATTAATCTCGAGAACTGTATCTTGAGTGCAACTATTAGTCGTTTGAAAATTTTGCGACACTTTGATCCTAAGAAGCTTACTATTCTACTCCTTATTCAGGACTTGTTGTGTAGCTTTAGCCAAAGCTCTTTAATAGTTTGAATGCAGAAATAAAAACTCTCACCATCAGGTTTTAAGCACGTCTGTTCTTGAGCATTATCCTTATATTTAACTTATTTTTAACAGGAAGCGACTTATCCAAAGCGAAGTTTTTCTCCGACAAACCGTTAACGACCGAAGAAAAAGATTATTACGAAGAATGTAAAGAATATTATCATCTCACCCAAGAACCATTAATATCAGTTGCTGATGAAGTTTTGGATAGTAGTACTAAAATATCATCATCATCAATAAAAATGGGAATTGATGTAGACTATGATAAATTTGATTTACGAAGTTTTTTTAACGAATTTTGTCGTACAGTGAATTTGAACACCAATGATATAGCGATGAAACAAATACAAGTAGGTTCAGCTATATTAGAAGCAGAAATTTTTGATAAATTTGAAGCAGATGATAAGAAACTACATTTAAAAATGTTTGTTCATAAAATCACAGACAAACTTAAAAAACATCTTGGTATAATGAAAATCTTTTTCATGTTTATGGGCCCTATAAAATCATTCTTCAAAATGCAACAACGTCGTGCAGAAATTCGGTTAAATCCAAATTATAATCGCATCTATGCTATTGGACATGATTATTGGTTAGGTCCTAATAACGATGGAAAAGATCGCGGAAATAAACCATATTATTGCCCTGTCGGGTGGCAAAGATGGTCTTTTTATGTTACTGATAATTTTGATAAAAAATTTAACGGATGGTGTATTGGCTATCATGGTACAAAATTTTCATATGGCTTATCAATTTTATTGAGTGGATTGAAACCAGCAGAAATTGATGCACATGGTGCTGGAGTATATGCCACTCCATCGGTTAATTACGCTGCTCATCCAAGATATTCTGAAGTTAAATTAATAGAATCATCCACTAGAAAAAAGTTTTTCAAATCGGGTAAATACGTACAATTTGTATTGGAGTGCCGTGTTCATCCAAGTAATATTAAGAAAGTAGATAGAGAAACACTAGGTGCTGGTAATACTACTATCGATCCCAATATAAGCAATGCAATTATCGAATGGATTATTGATCATCATGGCAAATCAATCGTTGACTTTAACGATCCTGACTCTTCGGTTATTTGCACAGGAATATTAACACGTGTTACGGATGAGCATCCTGGCTTACTACCTGAATCAGAATGGTGGTATAAGTCACATCTATGTAGTCGTCCAAATCCAAAATGCTGTATGTTAGGTATTCACCCTGATGCTCTTTTCAAACAGAAACAACGTGGTGATACATGTAAAATTCTCTTTAGCGATTAAATAAGTAAATGTACTTTCTTTGCTTTTGTATTTTTTTCAATTTCGATTCATTTGAAAAATTGTCTGTGCGGTTATATTTCCGAATAAACCTTTTTATAAAATATGTGAACTCATATACTGATGGATGGATGTGGGCGTGGAGTGTGAGTCTGGGTGTGCTTTTAGGATTTATACCGCAACACCCACACCTGCAGTTGAACTTCTTCTTCTCTCTCACACTCATTCATCCACTTGAAAGATAGCTTTGTTGCATGCAGTCTCTGTGATCACCCTTTCGTGCAAGAGGCACATGTGCAACTAACAGTGTCGGTTCGAAACAGTGAACACGTCGTCGAAGTATTGCCGCGTAAAAGCGCGTTGCTTCTTTCTACGTACTTCATTTTCCACTCGATTGAAACCTGTTAAATGAAGTGAAAGTAAACACAAAACTCACCCTTACTCATTCGGTGAAAGAACGACAGTCACTTACTTTTTTCACCGCAGGCTAATAGAGCGATCGTTACACAGTAGATAGAAAAACAGAGAGTGCGGATATGGGGTTTAGCACACTGGAAAAAAAATGGTACCATACCGAACCAAAAAAGGTACTTTGAACGAAAAAAGGGTTTCGTACATCGTACGGAACCTGAAAAGGTTTCGAATTCGTTGCAATTCTCTGAACCATTTTAGGTTCGGTACAGACC